CACACTTCACACCTGCGACGTGTGGGGATTTTTACCAGCTCATGTTTCAATTTAAAGTTCAGGCGAGTCTCTGCTATAACAACACGTCGCTGTTGTCTCTGGGTTGGCAATAAACTACTGTCTGAATCGTCGCTCTCACTATTGTTTTCAAACACTAATGTGGAATATGAATTATCTTCATCAGATTCAGCTTCAGCACTAGGTGTAGACGTGAAGAGAGGGCGCCTCACACCCGACTGGCCAGGGGCCGGATTCAGGAAGGTACTTACGAAGGTTTTTCCTCTTAGCTAAGAGCGTTTTCCGTCTTAGCGCCTTCGTGGCGGGTACGTCCGTATTCAATTAACTACCCTAAGTGGAAAAACCTTCGTAAGTTCATTCCGGGATTTGAGTGTGGTTTCGACCACTCGTAGCTTTACGTAAACTGGATATAAGTCATTTTTTCTCTACTACATAACACTGGGACCGATTTATGATATTGGAACATGACCAAAATATTATAGCTGGTGAATCTAGTGAAGAGTTGTCCTTCGTGTTAGTTATATATGCATTCTCTGCTTGAAACTTGAAGTAAATATGTGTTTGATGATAGTAGAATTAGTTTTATAATAGCAAGATATTATACCAGTAGTTATTAAGTAAATAAACACTGGTGAACATGAAATATGAGAGAAGGTGATGAGCCCTGATGACGATTTACAATAAAACCAAAAAAACGGCCAATCTACTCATGAGAAACTCTCTAGACGCAAAGCAGAACGCTTTAAAAGAGACCAACGTCGTCTATGCCTTCAAATACCTACTTGGGGACTGTAAGCCTCAAAGAACTCAGTATATAGGCAAGACAACAACATCTCTTTCCAGGCGATTAACTATGCATAAGCAACAGGGCTCCATTAAGGAACATACAATCTCTTCCCACAACCAGACCATCACCAGAGAAATCTTAGCAAACAACACAGAAATCATCGATAGATACAGCGATAGCAGGCAGCTTGACATCTGCGAGGCACTACACATCAAGAAGTCAACACCAGCAATCAACAGCCAATTAATGCACAACTATATTTTACCCACTTCAAGTCTCCGCTCCTATATAGAAGCATCAAGAAATATGGGCCAATAGGCCCTCTGCAGTTACTTCCATTCTTACCTTCAATTTACCCACTTAAAACCCATTGTTTCGTGTTCTGTCCTGTATTGAAAGTTTTGTTCACCTCATCCAAAACTGTTGTAACATATCACCTCACCCAAAATGGGGGTATAAAATAAAATGAAAGCTTTTTAAATCATAGCATAGTAAGAACTCTGTTTAGTGTTTGCAGGTTATAGTTGTGTGTGTGTGTAAACTAAAAGTCTTTGAAAATGTAATAAGTTATTACGAAACGCGTTCAAGTGTCGCATCAGACTAGAAATAAAAATTAATTTTGGAGAATTGATTTTTCAATTACCATCAACAGTGAAAAAGAAAATAAGAAATATTGAGAAAATTTGTGTTAGGATTCTTAATCTTACTTTTTCGGTCATATTTAATAATATATGTCTACAGGAAAGACTACTACCAAAATATACTAATATAATATAATATAATATAATATAATATAATATATTATAATATAATATAACATAATATATATATATATATATATATATATATATATATATATATATATATATATATATATATATATATATATATATATATATATATATATATATATTCACCAAAAATGTTCAATTTTAGTGATATATATATATATATATATATATATATATATATATATATATATATATATATATATATATATATATATATGTCGTACCTAGTAGCCAGAACGCTCTTCTCAGCCTACTATACAAGGCCCGATTTGCCAAATAAGCCAAGTTTTCCTGAATTAATATATTTTCTCAAATTTTTTTCTTGTGAAATGATAAAGCTACCCATTTCATTATGTATGAGGTCAATTTGTTTTTATTTGAGATAAAATTAACGTAGATATATGACCGAACCTAACCAACCCTACCTAACCTAACCTTACCTATCTCTATAGGTTAGGTTAGGTTAGGTGGCCGAAAAAGTTAGGTTAGGTTAGGTTAGGTAGGTTAGGTAGTCGAAAAACAATTAATTCATGAAAACTTGACTTACTAGGCAAATCGGGCCTTGCATAGTAGGCTGAGAAGTGCGTTCTGGCTACTAGGTACGACATATATATATATATATATATATATATATATATATATATATATATATATATATATATATATATATATATATATATATATATATATATATATATATATATATATATATATATATGTGTGTGTGTGTGTGTGTGTGTGTATCACGAAAATAAACACGTGATTAAGAATGTGACAATGTCAGACCACGGAGGAAAATGAAACATGAATTTCCTTAAGTACTTTCGTATATTAAATACATCTTCAGAAGGAATTCATACATCTTCATTCCTATATATATATATATATATATATATATATATATATATATATATATATATATATATATATATATATATATATATATATATATATATATATATATATATATATATATATATATATATATTAGTATATTTTGGTAGCAGTCTTTCCTGTAGACATATGCTATTAAATATGACCGAAAAAGTAAGATTAATAATTCTAACACGAATTTTCTCAATCTTTCGTACATTTCTTTTCACTGTTGGAGGTAAATCAAAAATCAATTCTCCAAAATTCATTTTTATTTCTAGTCTGACGCGACACGAGCGCGTTTCGTAAAACTTATTACATTTTCAAAGACTTTAGTTCACAAATACACAACTGAATAGAACTTACGCATCTCCGATTTTATATCTACATTTGAGTGAGGTGGAACGGGTGATGTGGCATTAACACAAGACAGAACACACACCTAGTAGCCAGAATGCAGTACTCGGCCTACTATGCAAGGTATGATTTGCCTAATAAGTCATGTTTTCCTGAATTGATAGTTTTCAATTTTTTTCTTATGAAAAGATAAAACTAATCATTTTATTATGTACGAGTAATTTATTTTTTAATATGAGTTAAAACATATGTAGATATATGACTGAACCTAACCTATCTTAACCGAACCAAAACTAACATAACTAAGTTATGTTTATGTTCCTAATATAATATAATAATAATGTTTCAAATAAACAAATTGGATTTTTTTTAAATAAAAAGAATAACTTGGCCTATTATGCAAATCGAGCATTGCATAGTAGGCCGAGAAGTGCGTTCTGGCTACTAGGTACGGCATATATATACATCTATACGGTGTGGTATATAAATCAGTGTGGACTCGTCCGGAAATGGGGGAGTACCCACTTAGGCAGGTCCGACGCGTGTAAGGGGACATCAGGTGATGAAATTTATGTGTAAATATATGTTATTTGTATTTAATCAGGAGAACATGTTATTATGGCATAGTAATGGAATTACAGGTTTGTGTGGGGGAGAAGTTCGTGAAGGAGCTTCGTGTTTGGTGAAGATTATATGGTGGAACTTCAAGTGTGGAGTTGAACTTCAGTGGTAAAGTGAAACTTCGAGTTTAGTGGTGCTACAAGTTTTTTTTGGTGAAGCCGCATAGAGGAACTTCACAGGCATTGAGTAGGACTTCAAGCAGCAGCAAATATTGAAGAGACACTGCAGTAATTACCTGATAATGAGGACCCAGAGACAGATGTTCTTAATGTTGGGCCTCTGAACACAGAACAGAATTGTAAGGACACCATTATGTGTATGAAGGAGTGTATGACTGCATATGGCATTAGTGACACAATGTACGGTGAGAAAGTGATTACTTTTTTTGTTGGGGATATTTTATATGCAAGTTACCCAGCCACAAGCAGTGACAGGCAAAAGGCTGTGGGCGGAAATTGAACAGCAGCCTAGCGCAGTTTATTTGGTGAAGAACTGCTATTATATAAATGTGATTATGGTTTGTTGAACCCAATGATATTATGTTGTACTACTGTTTTATTCTTTTTATTTTCTTGTAATAAATGTTTGTTTATAGACAACTGATTTTTGCTCTTGTCCTGTTGAGGCTTTCTAGAATGAGAGAGAGAAAAACGGTTGCTGATCGGTTTACGGCAGACAATATCATCTGAAGAGAAATTAGGAGATCATCTCAAAACAAGGAAAGTGTTGGGGAGTCACGGCGGCTCGACAGGGTGTGCATTCATGACCAAAAGGCCACAATCGAGCTTCTCTCCAAGTAAAGGTGACGTTGAACCTCTCCTATTATTCAATGATTTAAGGGTGTTTTCCAATATGCAGTCCAGTGTCCATTACTGATTGATTGATTGACGTCACCAGCAGTATAGTTGCAGTGGTTGATCTCATTGTAACAGAAAAGTGGTAGGGGTCTCAGTTTGCTAGAAGTAAAGTAAGTTAAGTATCAGTTTATAAAATCCCCTACTCCTGATACCACTCATCCACTGACTGCACAAAAGTATTGGGAAGTCATTACACTTCTCCCCCAACACTAGACATCACTCATGACATTATTGGGTACAGATAATCACTTCAACATGTTAGGGGCCGTATGAGCATCAAGTGTGCATCAAGCTTGAATGGTCCCCAAGCCAACATACATCACACAACTCTTGACTCCTGAAGGATTCGAACCCAGTCAGTCGAGTTCGAATCCATACCCCTTTGCAATCCTTTTGACCATGTCGTGGTCTAGTTGTCTGGGGCGTATGCATGGGAATACCCACTGCATAGGTTCGATTCCTTATCAAGGCTCCTACGGATTTTCCCATTGATACGTCAAGTTAGTGTGATTACTGTGTGTATTTAAAGAGAAGCTTCAGAGGTAGAACTTTCCTGGATGACAGCGCCAGAGGGCATGGGGTGGGGGGGCAGGGAGGGTTGTGTGAAAATTCTGGTCCAACTTAAGTGGAAGCCTCAAAATTAATCAGTTTTTGTTTAATGATGATTATGTTTGGAATATAAATGAAAACTACATGTTATTAATCAATTTACAAATTTTTAATTGTCAAAAAGTTGAATCAAACACTGGAATGCTATTAAAGCTGGGCTTTTTAACTAATTTAGAATAAGTATGCGAATAATAACTGAAGCACAACTGGAGTATAGAGGATTCTTAAACGATTTACTAAAAGCATATTCTCTCAAATTATTAAATTTTATTGCAGGAATTTATCAGACCATGCAACACATTTATGAGAGCTCATATCACTCCTGAAGCCATTTGTTAATGAGCTGGAAAATCTGCTCTCTTGCCTCTATTAGCTGTGGAGGATCACTGGGGGAAGCAGGATACATGTTGGCGCAATGAGCTGTTCCTAAAATTAAATAAATAAATAGAAATAAACACTTGTTGACTTTTGTTGGCAATAAAGTAACTATGTTGCTGATATTGCACATTTACGCTATGACAACAAGATTCTCTTGAAATATTTTGCCAAATAAGAAACCTCTAATTTGTTATATTTATAAAATTTTGTGCTGGATCTTCACGTAATACTCTCAAGAACATCTTGATATATTTTATGTACAGTATTCCCAAACACAAATTATGCTTCATTACTATACATATTTGAAAAAGCTGGTGATTTTTAAATAAGCTTGAAATGTGGAAAATTGCAATTAGATTCTTATATATAGGATGATAATTTGTGTTTACCTATCCCTAGTTATGTGATATATTCTCTCATAACAAATCCTAATACTAGCTAGATAAATGTCTTATTACTTACCATTTATAAAAATGGCGGTGGCATCAGTACTGAGATCAGACGTAACGCCAAGTGCATGCCAAGGGTCTATAGAACCATTGGGGAAGACAACTCTTGTCACCTTCAGATTGTAGCCACCATACACTGTGTTGGTTCTCTGGACTCCTGAGTCTATGAGGCTAGAGGTAAATCTGCTCAAGAGATAATACACATGTATAAGAAAGTGTGTTAAAACATACATTTAAAGTACTCATTGCTGTAGATTTATATTGATTAGGGACTAAAAATCAAGTGTTGAATGTAAACGTCTCTTTCTGGTGGGCCCCTCCCTGGACGCTAGGCACCTGGGTACCTCTACACGTAACATTTCCCAACAGGTTCTTGCTAGTCATAAAAGCTTATTGCAGACCAGAGTCAAAACTTAGTCCATCACTCAATAGAGGCACAAGAAGTCTGGATATTGTGAATCAACCCGGCCACGAGAAAAATCCACTCAAAAAGTTGGAAAGGTACCCAACATAAAAGCATCGCAAACCAGAAACTGGAACCGCAGGCGCAAACTCAACAAAAGAAACGTCTTCAGTCTTCCACTCCACAGCGATGGGATGGAAGCAAGAGTGAACATTGATGAGTATATAGGTCATGCGCTGCTCATGAACCATGCACATAGCTAAGCTACGATAACTCAGAAGAACGAACCACCTGCAGAATTGAGCCTCACAGAGGAAGGAATCAAAGTAACCCCGCCAACGATTCAGCCCACGAACCACCTGGCAGCTGTTGCATGCGAGCTGGAGCTCAGAACCTGATGAAAGAAGAAGAATGGGATGCAGTGAACACACGAACCATGCTTTGTCCCCAACAAAGAGTACATAGAATCAATGACCTGTAGTGGCCTGATAAAAGCTAGTCGCAATGTACCAATCCATGGCCAATACGCCCATAATAAGGTCAAGTGTGGATAAAGTAAGGTGCTACGGAAATGAAACCCAGAAAACCATAGAGGAAAATGGCAAACGAGAAGCTACCAAAGGGGGAACAGAGCTCGCACCTGATGGACCTGGTGAGGGCAAAAAGATGGAAACTAGAGAAATCAGTACAGAACCGGAAATCAATCCCTCCCCAGGGGATAAATCACACAGGCAAAGTACAGATTCCGTGCAAGGATTTGCTGAGACCTGGATACTGACCAACACTCGACAGAACCGAATAGCAATGCAGAGAAGCATCGCCTACGGCAAGGGTAGGAAAGTCAACAGAGTCACAAACAAGACCCAGCCAGGTCCGAATCTGCGAAAGAACTGCGCAGATTGGATAGGAACCTGAACAAGGCCATCCTGGGAAGAACCTGAACACTGGCATGCAGACATGTGGACTAGCTGCGAGCCATTGAAGTAGGCCAAGACGTGGACACTCCCCTCTCTGTTTTCCATCAACCGAAAAAGCAGCACACAATACAGATCAAAGTAAACAAAAAATATCATGGGAGCGTGGTTCAAACCAAAGGGAGGAAAACCCGAAAAAGATAGTGCTCTGTTCAAAGGCAAGAATGTCCCCAAATCCGGGAAGACCTAGAAGATGCCAGTACATGACTCGCGGGCTTAAGGACAACCAAAGAAATCCTCCAGTAAGACGAATTGTTCCGGAATATATGAGATCATATAGAAGATCGGAGAGGGAAGAAAATGGAGAAAATGCGAGGAACCATAAATCAAGCAATGGGACCGACAATGGGACCAGAATGAAGAGGACACTCATCGAAAGGAGATAACTAACTAGGTAGCTAGACCAACACCGCATCCAACCACACTGTAATAACTTAAGTAGCCGCGGAGGTGATAGCTAAACCAAGACACAAAGAGGAGTGGGAGATAGAAAAGTCAGCCTTACAGAAAGTCCCAGATCAACACCCAGAATGCCCATGCATTGTGAGTTCAGAAAAAGGGCAGCTATTCCTCAACATTACCAATAATGGTGAACTGCAAAGGGCGGAGCAAAAAAAACTAACTAGTCGGACCTCACAGTTAAGGACCGAGATCGCCACCGAGAGGAGGATGCGGAAGATAAAGGCAGCAATACGGTCTGGAAATTAGCGCCTTCCTCGACCAGGCAAGAGCGAGGTCCAAATGCCAGAAAATTGCCCCAGTGAAGCAGAGTGGTTCTGCCCAGTGGGCAGAACCAAGTGCAAGACGGGTTAGGTTCACTGATCGGTCCCAAAGTTGCCGGAGTCAGCAACCGATGGTTGGGGCAGGGGTGTAACTAGAGTTGGTAACGACCTAGCTACTGTGTTCCTTGATGTAAGGGCTGCTAATATTTTCCTAACAGTTTGCTTTCGAGCAGTCTACCTTACTAGTGGCATTTCATCTTTGTCTGGGTTAAACCAATGTACCCGACTCTGTGCTTCTATGAGTAGGTCATGTTCTGGACCTGGTCTGCAGTAGACTATTATAACTTATAAGGGCCTGATAGCAAATGATACCCAGACGGCTAGCTTCTAGGGAGCCAAATAAAAGTTACTCCAATGGGTAGCTTTATCATTTCATAAGAAAAAAAATAGAGAAAATATATTAATTCAGGAAAACTTGGCTTATTGGGCAAATCGGGCCTTGCATATTAGGCTGAGAAGTGCGTTCTGGCTACTAGATACAACATATATATATATATATATATATATATATGTCGTACCTAGTAGCCAGAACTCACTTCTCAGCCTACTATTCATAGCCCGATTTGCCTAATAAGCCAAGTTTTCCTGAATTAATATATTTACTATAATTTTTTTCTTATGAAATGATAAAGCAACCCTTTTCTCTATGTATGAGGTCAATTTTTTTTTATTGGAGTTAAAATTAATGTAGATATATAACCGAACCTAACCAACCCTACCTAACCTAACCTAACCTATATTTATAGGTAAGGTTAGGTTAGGTAGCCAAAAAAAGCTAGGTTAGGTTAGGTTAGGTAGGTTAGGTAGACGAAAAAACATTCATTCATGAAAACTTGGCTTATTAGGCAAATCGGGCCTTGAATAGTAGGCTGAGAAGTGCGTTCTGGCTATTAGGTACAACATATATATATATATATATATATATATATATATATATATATATATATATATATATATATATATATATATATATATATATATATATATATATATATACAACAATGATCACAAAAACACTGATCCAAGTATGCAGAATAACCACATATGAAAAATAGAAAATGCTTAACGCGTTTTCGGCTAATTCGCCTTCATCAGAGGAAAGTTCTACTTTGCTCTGATGAAGGCGAATTAGCCGAAAACGCGTTAAGCATTTTCTATTTTTCATATGTGGTTATTCTGCATATATATATATATATATATATATATATATATATATGCGAACAGACCTGAATGGTCCCCAGGACAATATGCAACTGAAAACTCACACCCCAGAAGTGACTCGAACCCATACTCCCAGAAGCAACGCAACTGGTATGTACAAGACGCCTTAATCCACTTGACCATCACGACCGGACATAATGAGGTGATAGCCGAGGCTATTTGAACCACCCCACCGCCGGCACTCGGATAGTAATCTTGGGCATAGCATTTTACCAAATCACCTCATTCTTTGGGGCACACGTGAGGAACACAAATGCGAACAAGCCTGAATGGTCCCCAGGACAATATGCAACTGAAAACTCACACCCCAGAAGTGACTCGAACCCATACTCCCAGAAGCAACGCAACTGGTATGTACAAGACGCCTCAATCCACTTGACCATCACGACCGGACATAATGAGGTTATAGCCGAGGCTATTTGAACCACCCCACCGCCGGCACTCGGATAGTAATCTTGGGCATAGCATTTTACCAAATCACCTCATTCTTTGGGGCACACGTGAGGAACACAAATGCGAACAAGCCTGAATGGTCCCCAGGACAATATGCAACTGAAAACTCACACCCCAGAAGTGACTCGAACCCATACTCCCAGAGGCAACGCAACTGGTATGGACAAGACGCCTTAATCCACTTGACCATCACGACCGGACATAATGAGGTGATAGCCGAGGCTATTTGAACCACCCCACCGCCGGCACTCGGATAGTAATCTTGGGCATAGCATTTTACCAAATCACCTCATTCTTTGGGGCACACGTGAGGAACACAAATGCGAACAAGCCTGAATGGTCCCCAGGACAATATGCAACTGAAAACTCATACCCCAGAAGTGACTTGAACCCATACTCCCAGAAGCAACGCAACTGGTATGTACAAGACGCCTTAATCCACTTGACCATCACGACCGGACATAATGAGGTGATAGCCGAGGCTATTTGAACCACCCCACCGCCGGCACTCGGATAGTAATCTTGGGCATAGCATTTTACCAAATCACCTCATTCTTTGGGGCACACGTGAGGAACACAAATGCGAACAAGCCTGAATGGTCCCCAGGACAATATGCAACTGAAAACTCACACCCCAGAAGTGACTCGAACCCATACTCCCAGAAGCAACGCAACTGGTATGTACAAGACGCCTTAATCCACTTGACCATCACGACCGGACATAATGAGGTGATAGCCGAGGCTATTTGAACCACCCCACCGCCGGCACTCGGATAGTAATCTTGGGCATAGCATTTTACCAAATCACCTCATTCTTTGGGGCACACGTGAGGAACACAAATGCGAACAAGCCTGAATGGTCCCCAGGACAATATGCAACTGAAAACTCACACCCCAGAAGTGACTCGAACCCATACTCCCAGAAGCAACGCAACTGGTATGTACAAGACGCCTTAATCCACTTGACCATCACGACCAGACATAATGAGGTGATAGCCGAGGCTATTTGAACCAACCCACCGCCGGCACTCGGATAGTAATCTTGGGCATAGCATTTTACCAAATCACCTCATTCTTTGGGGCACATGTGAGGAACACAAATGCGAACAAGCCTGAATGGTCCCCAGGACAATATGCAACTGAAAACTCACACCCCAGAAGTGACTCGAACCCATACTCCCAGAGGCAACGCAACTGGTATGGACAAGACGCCTTAATCCACTTGACCATCGCGACCGGACATAATGAGGTGATAGCCGAGGCTATTTGAACCACCCCACCGCCGGCACTCGGATAGTAATCTTGGGCATAGCATTTTACCAAATCACCTCATTCTTTGGGGCACACGTGAGGAACACAAATGCGAACAAGCCTGAATGGTCCCCAGGACAATATGCAACTGAAAACTCACACCCCAGAAGTGACTCGAACCCATACTCCCAGAAGCAACGCAACTGGTATGTACAAGACGCCTTAATCCACTTGACCAAGCCTGAATGGTCAAGATTACTATCCGAGTGCCGGCGGTGGGGTGGTTCAAATAGCTATCACCGATCTATCTATTGAGGCTATCACCTCATTATGTCCGGTCGTGATGGTCAAGTGGATTAAGGCGTCTTGTACATACCAGTTGCGTTGCTTCTGGGAGTATGGGTTCGAGTCACTTCTGGGGTGTGAGTTTTCAGTTGCATATTGTCCTGGGGACCATTCAGGCTTGTTCGCATATATATATATATATATATATATATATATATATATATATATATATATATATATATATATATATATATATATATATATGTCGTACCTAATAGCCAGAACGCACTTCTCAGCCTACTATTCAAGGCCCGATTTGCCTAATAAGCCAAGTTTTCATGAATTAATGTTTTTTCGTCTACCTAACCTACCTAACCTAACCTAACCTAGCTTTTTTTGGCTACCTAACCTAACCTTACCTATAAATATAGGTTAGGTTAGGTTAGGTAGGGTTGGTTAGGTTCGGTCATATATCTACGTTAATTTTAACTCCAATAAAAAAAAATTGACCTCATACATAGAGAAAAGGGTTGCTTTATCATTTCATAAGGAAACAATTATAGTAAATATATTAATTCAGGAAAACTTGGCTTATTAGGCAAATCGGGCCTTGAATAGTAGGCTGAGAAGTGAGTTCTGGCTACTAGGTACGACATATATATATATATATATATATATATATATATATATATATATGTCGTACCTAGTAGCCAGAACGCACTTTTCAGCCTACTATGCAAGGCCCAATTTGCCTAATAAGCCAAGTTTTCCTGAATTAATATATTTTCTCAAATTTTGTTCTTACGAAATGATAAAGCTACCCATTTCATTATGTATGAGGTCAATTTTTTTTATTGGAGTTAAAATTAACGTAGATATATGACCGAACCTAACCAACCCTACCTAACCTAACCTAACCTATCTTTATAGGTTAGGTTAGGTTAGGTAGCCAAAAAAGTTAGGTTAGGTTAGGTT